CTTTGCTGGAACCCTTGGATTCGAATCTACGCCGATCCCACGTTTGCGTTCGCTCGGCTTTGTGTGAACTTTCACTTTCACGAATTCGACTGCTGTTAGAAAAACGATACGCGGGGTGGAGAACTTTTTTTCTATGAACTGATCGAACTCGAGATGAAAGTGTGTCCAACCGAACAAGTATCGACGCTGATGGCGATATCCCTTGATCGCGAATCCAAGCATCGTTGAGATCTAAGCATTCCCTTTTCATTTGCAGATATCGAGATGAAGCTGATCGTGACGATGATGTTCCTGGTGGGGGCGGCGTTCGCCATGCCCGTGGCGGAGAACCAGGAATCACTTCAGGTGGTGCCTTTGGAGAAGTCGACGAGCTCTGTGAAGCTCACGATGCCCGAGTTGGCGGCTACTCCCACGGCAAGCCAAGAACCAGCAGAACCGGCGCCAGCGGAGATCGCGAAGCCGGCCGAGCTAGCTGAGAAGCCAAGCGTGAGGAGCAGCTCTATTCCGGAAAACGCTCAACAGCCCGAAAAGGCAGAGGAGAAGAAGGAGGAACTCCCACAGGCGAAGGCCGAGGAAAAGAAGGATGAAATCCCCGAAAAGAAGCAGGCCGAGCAACAACCTCAGCCACAAGAGTCCCAGCCGCAGCCTGCTCAGGAACAAAAAGCTGAAGAACCTCAGGAGCCCAAGAAGGAAGAGGAGAGCCTGAAACCAGCAGCTTCCGAATCCCACGAAACCGTTCAACCCGCGCCTCAGGAGCCCAACAAGCAGGAACCTGCTGCTCCCTTGGCTGAACAGCCTGTAAGTAGCACTATTGACGGTCGTTTGATAAAATTCCTGAAGAATTGAATAACTCTAGTCTCTCGTGTCGCAAGGACATTTAGTTTTAGGTATTCTCTAAATTCAATTCCTGTATTTCAGAAACCCGTGAACATCGAAGGCAAGAGCTCCGAGCAGGTGGACTCCGACGAGAAGAGCGAGGTTGCGGCCAAGGAGGAGCCAAAAGAAGAGAAGAAGGCCGAGGAAGCCAAGCCTAGCGTGAGGAAGGAGGACGAACCCGCCCCCGCCGTATCAGCCGAATCCTCCGAGGAGAAGGCTCAGCCAGCCATCGAGGAGAAGAAGGCTGACAAGCCCCAGGAAGAAGAGAAGAAAGTCGAAGAGAAGCCAGACCGCGTGACCCGCGATGCCGAAGAAGCAATCCCTAACGCGGCAAAGAAAGCGCCTGAACAACCAGCCGAGCAAGCCGCCGTCGCTGCGATCGCCGCGGAGGCCGAGAAGAGCCAACCAGAGCAAGCCAAGCTCGCGGAAGAGGCGAAACCAGCCCTGAAGAGCGAGAACATCGAGCCTGCCGTTGAGCAACCCGCCGCCAGCTCCGAGGAGTCCTCCAAGAGCGAAGAGAAGGCCGACTCCGCGGCTCAGCCAGCCAAGGAAGCCAAGAGCGCCGAGATGGCGGCTGAGGAGTCATCGCAACAGGCGAAACCCGCAGAGTCCAGCCAGGCCAAGCCCGAAAACGCCGAAGCCCAGCCCCAGGCGAAGCCCGAGAAAGCCGAGGAGAAGAAGGAGGAACCCATGAAGCCGGAAGCAGCGAAGGAAGTGAAGGAACGTTCGGAGGAGTCCTCGGAGGACAAATCGGCCGAGATAAAGGAAAGCAACAGCAGCGAAGAGGCAAAGAGCAACGAGGACAAGTCCTCCGAGGAGAAGGAGGCCAAGCCAACCGAGGCCAAGCCGGAGTTGCTCCCCAAGCCCCAGGAACTGACGTATCCAAGAAGTCAAGTTTAGATAACGAGCAACGACAATCGCGCGCGAGACGAAGCGGGAAGACGAGCAACGGTGTAGCCCCCAGCAGCAAAAAATGTCACCCAGAAGACCAGAAGGGCTCCTGACGTCGAGACACATCAGAGCGACACGGGGATGGGCGCGAGTTCTTCCCACGGATAGAGGCGCGATTCAGAGTGAGAGAGAGAGAGAGAGAGCGAGAGAGAGAGAGTGGAGACGGGGTGCTCGTGCACGTCAGGAAGTGTCAACAGCAGAGCGGGCGAAAAAGAGGAAAACGGAGTGAAAGCGATATCGGTGTGAATGGGAGAGAGAGATTGTTTCTCGATCGGTCGTTGGCAGGGTCCAAATACTTCCCCGACGCGCCACGGGTTTGAGAAAAAACAAAAAATTGTTCATCGATCACGGGACAGGATGACCACGTGACGCCTGGCCACGGAAGAGGAAACCTAACGGCTTGGACATCCACGCGAAGATCATGAAAACATCTACGACGACGACGTGGATGCTCGACGTTCGCCTACGTTTCGTGCGACGAAGATGTGTCTGCGCGTAGCCCGTCAGGAACACGTGGACCTCACCCGTCGAGGATTTCAGCTTTGGCTACTCGTCACCACGGGGTCATCCTCGCCTTCGTCCCAGCGGACACTAAGATTTGTCCACGGGGACGAACCATGCCCCTGATCAGAGTTATCCTCGTTCGAACAAGATCCCCTCCCACCAAGTTTCTTTCCTTCTCTATGTATTTTTTTTTTTTTTTGTCAAAAATCACACACGACCACAACCACAACCTCATCCCAATAAAACTAGTGTGTAGCTTCGACTCTGTCTTTTTTTTTTAGAGATACGTGTCATTATTATTATTAATATTATTATTATTATTACGATTTAGTACCAGTACCGCTATTATTATTAATATTATTATTTGTATTATTGCTATCATCGTTATAATAATAATTATTATTATTACTGTCAAAAGCCAGCCGATCTTTAATCGTTTCACCATGCCAACAACGCTCCCTCCGTGCATGACGACTACATTATATATAAATTTTTTTTTTTTTTTTGTAAGGGCACGGGATTTTCCTTTCATTCGAAATATTTCATTTACGATACTCCATACATCTTAAGTTAGCTAATGCGTCGATACATTTTGAATTTGAGCAGCTGCTTTTCGAGCCATTAGTTTCCAGCTGTAGAAACAACTCTTTCATCAAAAGAAAGGATAGCAGAGATATTTGCACTCTCTAAACGATATTTAAATAACCCCAGCCCTGGTTAATCAAATGGTAAGCAGTATTCTGAAATTCAAGATGAAGAGAACTTGCTTTAAATTTCCACATTCGGATCCGATTTTAAAGGAAGAAATATTTGCACAACTCGATCAGAAACGATCGATCACGATCCGTTCAGAAAATCGCGACGGCTACTTGACACCCAGATGGAACTCTACACGGTGTTGGCGTCGATTCCATACACATTCCAATTCACCAGATAGCATCAATTACGGTCGCCGTGACTAGAGTCGTGAGCCTAATAGCGACATTGCCTACTGTCGCGAAAACAATGGGTCTTGATCGTTACAATATGCTAACAAACGAGTCGAGAAGTAACGTTCGCGTACAAAGACTCACACCTAACAGTATAAACGAGGTTCAAATAATAAATACATCTTATAAAATAGTAGAAACACTTCTATCTTAATAAAGAAAATATCCTCGTTTAATTTGAAAAATGTTGGGGGGCTCCAATGTAGGTTTACGGTACGAATCCTGAGCATAATTATACAAATAATAATAGTTAAACAGTAATATTCGATTAATGGCGTTGAAATCGTGATGTTCGAATAGTTTGAGCCTTGCTCGAGGCGCGTGCACTTTGATATTCGCGAAAGGGGCGAATCTCGTCGCATCCACTGGGAATGCACTTGCACAAGACTTGTAGATTCGCGTGATTGGTCGTCACGCCTCGCGAGTAATCTTTCAGGCTGCACGACGACGACATTTCTCCGTGATGCATCCAACCAAGTGCATCGATTCGTCAAAGGGCGAATTGAAAACTTGGCGTGCGCGCACGCTCGGGTACGGTTTGTAAACAGTGAGGATACGACGAGGTGAGTGGACCCCAGCGAAATGTCAAGGCGCGACTGGGATTTTGCAACAGAACGGGATACGTACGTTGGTTTCTTCGGTTCGTGTCTCCACATACTTTTACGCAAGATCGACCAACGAAATGAGCCGACATCGAGAATTTTCTTCTTGGGAATCTATAGCCTTTACGAATTCAATTTGTTTTCATTCGAAAACATAAAGAACTACTTCGATAATAAAAATAAAACGATTGCTGTTTCATTTGCGATTGCCTCAAGAATCAAGGAATAAAGAGGAATAATTCTCGAATTTTAGATAATTAAAAAGGAGTGCTATTAAACTTTCTCAATGCATCCTTGTACTTTAAAATAAAGCAAAATCACGCGAACATAATATGCATGATACATCGATACGTCTATATTCGTAAAACATGCAAGTTCGGTATAAATGAGGTAAAAGAACCGCGTCAATCAACTGCCTCCGTGGCGCAATCGGCTAGCGCGTTCGGCTGTTAACCGAAAGGTTGGTGGTTCGAGCCCACCCGGGGGCGGTTTATTTTTTTACTATGCTTGAATTAGCTTTTTATTTTACAATTCCCGACTGAGAGGAAATTAAACGGTTGTATATCTACAAACTTATATTCCAATCTATGGAGAAGAAGGTTTATTAATGCTGCATTAAAGCATATGAGTAAAAGATGACTGCATTAAATTATATATACGAAATGTCATCTTTTTATTTTTTAAATTATTAGTTAATAAGTGTAACTAATTTTAAATCGTAACATATAATAAAAATTATGGAAAAAAAAATGACTTGACCCCGACGTGATTTGAACACGCAACCTTCTGATCTGGAGTCAGACGCGCTACCGTTGCGCCACGGAGTCAGATACTACAAACTTGCTTCAAATGGGTTATGAGGATGCGACGGAAATATTTCCAAGTCATAAAATATATATAACAATCTAGTACTTATCAATTAAAGTAAATTAAATTAAACTTTATATCCAAACTGATATATTCTATACGATAATCGATACTATGCGCTTAATAATTCTTATTTAAAATAGTAATTTCAGTCACATACCATGGCATTTGAACTTTTAAAATATAAAAAACATGGAGGTATGTCACATACCTGATTTGTAAGCATGAAGCAAGTCAGAACTCCCAATGACCACCAATCCACCTCTTGCCCATAATGTTGCCTCTTCAGTATTTCTGGTGCTGAAATGAAGCGTGCGAAACAAAACATATACTACTTTTTAAGCGAATAATACTGAGGAATTTACAATATTTACCCATGTACTCGGGTGTTCCGCAAAATGTATTTGTTCTTTCTGTATGATTCAACCACTTTGCAAGGCCAAAATCAATAATTACAGCATGACCCTCCTCATCCAAAAGAACATTTGTTGCCTTTATATCTCTATGAACTATGCCAGCATTGTGTAAGAAATCTAGTGTAACAATAAAGAAAATAACATATTTTAGTATATGCTCAACAGCTAGTTCAGAACAAGAAATACTTACCGATAGCTAAGGCAACTTCTGCTACATATATTCTAGCTATATCTTCTGGCAAACAACCGCATTGCTCAACTAGGGAAAATAACTCTCCACCGCCGACATAATCAGTTACTGAAATTAATAATTATCATAAAAAACATTCAGTAGTGACTAATAATACTATAACAATAATAGACTTACAAATATACAACGTCTTTCTGCCTTGCCATTTATGAGAACAGTTTAATATAAACGGATGGTGGCCGACTAGTTTCTGTATGGCAACCTATTATTGAATATCACTTTAAAATGTTTTCTTACTTAAACAAACACTTACTTCATTTTTAAAAGATACATACTTCCTGTTTAGCCTGAGTCACTCCATTTTCCGAGACCACCTTGGCTTTGCTGATTACTTTTAAAGCAAAAACTTGGCCAGTGTCTTGCTTCTGGATTCTGTATACTTTTCCATATGCTCCTTTAGCTATCACATTTAAGATAGTATAAGCAGCTTTCAAAGGTACTTGTCTTATTTGAAATTCTGGAAGAAACATTGTTTGAGACCGAGAAACTGGCCAAGATGTTTTTGAAGTACTCAATGGATCATACAATGTATTTTCGGTCCAACTGAAAATTCCAGAATACTTATATGTATCACTCTAAGTGTGTAACTTCTATCAATAAAGTCAATGGAACTACCTTCTCTGAGACGTACGGGACCATGATTTAGATTCCCTCTTTGTGGATTGCGCAGATCCAACACAACTTCCACCAATTATATCACTAAGACTATACTATATAAAAAAAATTGAAGTAACATTTACTAAACTGTTTTCATTCATATGTAATAATATTTGTTTGATTCATTAATAATACTATTTTTAACTGTAGAGGTTATAACAATTTCAAGCAATGTATACCTGACTAGTATACTTCTGATTGTTGTGATAATTGTTTTTCGATGTAGTATTACCCATTCGATCTAAAAAATTGTACAGAATCTTTTTAGCATTATAATATTTCATCTTAGCAATACATAATAAATATTCATTTTGTTCCCAATCTTTTATTTAATTTAAAAATGTTCCAAGACGCATAATAAATTCTTCTAAGTGCGATAAAATTGGAATTTAATTACGTTAGAACGATTTAAAATAAACATATAGGGAATAAAATGATTTGTTACAAAAATCAATTATCAAATATATGTACATGATCTACATAGATCGTATGAAAGCAGCTAAATTAATATTCATAACTGAAGGACAATGTAATTTATTAATAAAACGACGTAGTATTAGGCATATTTCATTGGCTACCCAATAATTATTAAGTACCGCAAATATACACGCGAATAATTTTAGATCATTTTAGACCGAGCGAACTGTTTTCAAACGGTAAGAAAAAAGTCACGGAAACTGAACACAGACAACACAGTAGTACTGTATCAATTTAACTGTAATAATAATGCATACAGCTACAACAAGTCGTTTCTCTTATGTCAAATGAAAAGAAGAACGAAAACAAATATCATCATTCGCGCGATTTGAATTATTACAAATTAAAATGACGGATGAATTGTCACGTGACCTAGGATAACACAGATGACGCACAAGGATAGGCTTACCGTTTTAGAAATTTTTCCGAACATAAAACTAACGTACCGACGTAACGTTACAATAATTTCATTGATATTTATAGTTAATTTATCTCTCATTAACAGCAAACGATTTCCTCAGACTAAATATTACTTCCTTACGAACTGTAATCACATACTACTCATTCAAAATGTAAAGAGAGAAAATGTAACCTACGATTTGGTCAGATTTACACTCGCAGCCTCTTCGTAGACAGACAAGTCCAATCGATTTTTCCTCCTATTACAAACGTTAAAACTTCAATGAAATGTATAAAAATTACTACAGAATTCATTCGCGTTTATCGGTTGAATAGATAATGAATTCTCCCGAGTATTCGATCACTTTGGTTTCGTAAATCCAACACTTGTACGTTGCACGTTATCTCAAAAGTTAAATTGAAATTTTCAAATTTTCCTCCTAATGCATACCGTACCGATAAACAATTCACGAATTATTAACTGTGAATAACGTCGGAACTCTTTAAAAAAAGACATAGGAGCGTCATCTTCCGAGAAGTGAAGCAACCGTTTGAAAGTTGTACGTGTAACAACTGAAATTAAATTCTCGTGATGAAAACGAAAGAAGTTTCAAGTTTTATCTTGGATATTCTAATGAAATCTCAATGCACACGATAATGTTTGAAGTAATAACGATACATTCGTTCTTATTATGATGTTAATATAGTAATCATTCTACGATGTATCGATGGGTTTTTCTTAAATTATATAGTATCGAGTTACTTGAGAAAGGATTGGACGAGTCTCGTAACTAATAATTTTAATGAATAAATAAAATTTTAGTAACGCCATTTATCGTTTCATATAACCAAATAACCAGAACTAGTACATACTGTGCTGAAAGTCGAGGAATCGGTAAATTTGGTGACTTTCCCCTTGAGCGGCACGAATTTGTGTGACTAGATGAGCTTACCTCATCGATTTCTAATCGTAGACCTCTGGTGGCGAGTTCAAAAAACGTTGTTACATGAAAGTCGTACCAGCAAACTGAAGTGAATTGAATCTAAAGGAGGAGCTGAATTACATTGTACAAAATGTTGAACGTTTCGAAGGTAGGCCAATTTGGCCATGTCTTCAAACGGGGTATGTCAAATATAGTCGAAACTGTGGAACAGCGTTGCCATGAGACTGGAGAAGGTAAATTACGTGAAGTTCATTAGTCCATTGCACGTAAAATGTAGCAGCAACGTACTGTAAAAATTAAAGAAGTGACAGTAGAAAACACATCTACAATACTTTCTTATTATTAATTTCACCATATCGTACGATTCATTTATAAGAAGATAAAGTAATAAAGAAATTCATTTTCACAGTTTTTTGTTATCATTCCACAAAGTGTAAATTTCGTTTAAGGTTATGGATACGTATTATATAAGAGCAATTACAATTTTAGGTTCTGTAAAGCTATGGAGGAACATCAGTCTTTTCATAGGCTTCCCTGCAATTGCACTTGCAATGGTTAATTGTTATATAAGACACCAAGAAGAAGAACACCATGCACGACCAGAATTTATTCATTATCCTTATATGAAGATTATGAACAAGGTACGAGAAACAAAGTTTTCTGGTCTCATATGAAGTTACGACACAATTTAATCATTTTGATTTTTGATGCAGCCTTTTCCATGGGGAGATGGTAAACATTCGTTATTCCACAATCCTAAAGTGAATTGGATACCTGGTGTTGGTTATGAAGAATAACTTCTCAACAGAACTATATGTGTAGTTTACATTCGATGATGTTATGTATATATTCATATCCTGTATTATCTCATAATAAAAGTAATAAAATATAATTTAATTTTGTTCTTTTAACTGTCCAGTGAAAAAAGGAACATTAGATAAAATTTGTATGCTGTAGAAATTCGTTAAATATTTTACAACAATTATTTTAAATTTTATATATTTTACGATGTTTATACAAAAGGTAATAATTTGTAAAATAGTTCTATAGAAAACATTAACATTCTTAAATTCTAGCTCAAAACAGCAATGATGAATACTGTTTAACATAACAGAGTCACAATGAAAGCACTTTGCATTGAAAGGAGTAAATATAGAATAAAGGAAATAACAGAATAATTTCACTTACAAATATATACTTTTTTCTATGGGTTTACAATTCTGGTAATGGTGTTGCCAATGTAACTTCGCACATTCTTTAGAGCAGTATTTAGCTTCCAAACATCGTTTACAAACTACAGTGCTTGGCTTACTGCAAAATAAACATATTTTTATTTCTTCTTCTTCGATATTTCCTTCTATATTAGTTGCAGATATATAACTACCTTCTCCCATTTCCTCAAAAGTCTCGAGTGTAATACTTCTAACATCTACTACAATGCACGATGTAATACTGTCTTCCGTCGCAACTTCGTTTATATCTATATCATTAATATATTTAATATCATTATCTGAACTTTCAGTTGCAATAAATAACCCAGTAGTAGAACAAAGTTCTTGCTCTTTTAGATTATGTTCTTGCTTCACAGACTCCATGCTTTCAATTTTTATCACGTTATCTTTAGTTTCATCCACATCTTTAATTTCGTTCATTTCTATTACGCCATCTTTAGTTTCGCTTACTTTTATTACGGTATCTTTACTTTCATTCATTTCTATTACGTCATCTTTAGTTTCATCCACTTTTATTACGGTATCTTTACTTTCGTTCATTTCTATTACGCCATCTTTAGTTTCATCCACTTTTATTACGGTATCTTTACTTTCGTTTATTTCTATTACGCCATCTTTAATTTCACCAATTACATTGGTATCAACAACTCTTACTTGATCGTTATCAGGAGAAATTTCTACGATAACTAAGTGCGAGTTCGACTGTTGCGCTATGTCTTTACTGCGTGCTTCTAACATAGGTGCTGGCAATAATTCGTTTTGAGTCGTGTCAGAAATATTTTCGTTAATCTTCGCTGATTCGTCTGAACTCTGTTTTTGTATAGAACTTCCAAAATCTTCTTTTATAACATTTGTATGATTTTCAGTATCCTGTAATGTTGTTTGTTCATCCCGTTCAGTCTTTTGTACATTTTCCTCTTGCGATATTCTTGATTCTATTTTCTCTCGAAGAACCGTATTACATTGCACTGCATCAGTTGTATTACATTGCTGTTTTGCTTCAGAATTACAAACTGAACCATTAACTTCATTCTCTTGTAAACGAATTTGTACTTCTTTCGGAACATCAATATTAGTATTTTCAAGCACATTATTTTTCGACGTATTTGTTTTACATTTATCATGTGAAAGATTTTTTATGTGATAATTCAAAGTTTTGTCTACAATGCGTTTCAAAACAGCTTGAAACTGAAATAGTAGCAACCTTTCGATATAAATTTCCAGCCACTGTTGCGAAGTAGTATACGATTGCTCGAACCATGTACAGCAACTATTACAGTAAAAGTTTACATGCCTGAATAACATAATTTTTTGAATATCAGAAAAATTTTGCAACATATTAAATTCCGTCGCTGTCGATTCCAATGAAGTTTGTACAGGTTTTCTTTTCGTCGTAGGGATTGGTTTTTCTTTAGCTTGAGAAAAATGATTGTTTTGTATACATGGGGGAGGCGTAGCTTGTTCCAATCCACTATTTTGAGATTTTTTCGTTAGTTCTTCTACAGTTTGTGGTATATTATTCATTACCGGAACATTCTGTTGTTTATTTTGAAATAATTGTGGTCTATCGTGTGACTGAAGAATTCCTCGTAATGTATCGAAATTCGATTGTGTATGTATAGTGTTTTGGAAATGTTGATTCGTAGATGTAATATTTTTCTGTTGGATTGCCTGTGCCTGATTAATATTTTGTTGCTGGTTCGCGTGTACTGGATTAATATTTTGTTGCTGGTTCGCGTGTACTGAGTTAACATTTTGTTGCTGGACAGTTGTTGGATATGCTTGCCGATTTTGTTGCTGATTCTTGCGTATTCCCTTAATATTTTGTTGTTGCTCTATTTGTGCTGAATTAAAATTTTGTTCCTGGATTATATGTGCTTGATTATTTTGTAACTGGTTCATGTATACTGGATTAATATTTTGATTTTGGCTCATATATGTTGGAATTGTATTTTCATGCTGGATTGCGTGTGCTGGATTACTGTTTTGTCGAATCATATGATTTGGTACAGACGTGTTTACACCGTAAACTCTATTTCCTGAAGATGCATAAGCGTCTTGTGGAACATGACACTGATGATGTAAATAGGATGTATTCGTCACTGGTACAAACGTATGTTTCCCTGGTTGATTTACATTAATGGATGAATGCGATGATTGCTGTAAGAGGTTGCCTTGCATTGCATGGACATTCATTACTGGGTTCTGCCTACCTAAATATGTATGATGTTTCTGTTGTAAGGCTGGCCGTTGTGTTGACAATTTATATTTATGATGCATATGCATTGGTGAATTAATATTAGAATATGCCGTTTGGTTTAAACTCGTAGAATTTTGAGTTTGTATAGTAGTTATAGGAATCGAATTTTGTGGCTTAGTCTGCGCGAGTGTAGCATATGGATTTTGCAACGTTTCAGTGTTCTGATATGAATTTTCATTCAAAGTTCTTTTAGTAAACGCTGACGGTGTTACATTAAGATGTATATTAGGATTATTTTTTAGAAGTTGGCTTTCTTTATCTAAGCTCTCTACGTATAAAGGTAAGAGTGATGGCGCATACATAAATAACTCTTGTAGAGTCAACAAAGGCATTTTGATCATTTTCTTGTTAAGTCCATTTAAAACTCCGGAAACGAGTCTTTTGAAGTTGTCAGTTTTCACTACATTCTTTAACTGTTCAAATTCTTTATATAGTAACATATCATAATCTGAGTTGGTGGCGTGATTAGAAGTGCGTAAATATTGAATTATTGTATATATAGTCAACAAAATTTTACGGATAGCTTCCTGACATTCCACGTTAGTCTGCTCTGTTCTACGAGAAGGCGGTGCTTCCTCGTAAACTAAGGAGGATGGAGCTGTAAAATTGACAAATACAGGTACAGATTGGGCAGGTATTGGTTGTTTCTGGAAGGTTGCTGAGGGCAATGGAATACTAGCAGCATCCGACTGTGTTATTGTATTTGTGTATGAAGAATTTAAAACAGTGGGTTCAATGGAATGTACAGGTGTGGGACACCATCTAGAACCTAGCTCTGCACTAGATCGTACCCTTAACCTAGGATGCGGAATTTGATTCGACTGAACATCCATCTGTTCTGTGGCATGGTTCGGTCCGAATTCCTGTAATACAGTTTTGGTTATATCGTACGACGCGTTACATATATCGTTACTTATTGAAACAGTTTCGACATCTGTACCCGCGATGGCACATGTTACCGCGCATGTACCTCCCTTATCTTTATCATCCTTATTATAGTTTGGTACTGTTCCTGTCAATACTTTCAAATCCGATGCAGTCAGACAACTTTCACTGGAAAACAATTGCATAGATTCATTAAAAATTCTAATATCTAAATCATTTCCTTGAGATTTTCGAGTATCTCTACTTATATCTACTTGAGCATCACAGTTTGCATTGCACGTTTTTGGAGTAACACAAAGTGTTGTGTTAGTGTCTGTTTCTGTTTTTTCTACAGGAACATTAGCTTGTGATCCCTCAATTGTTGGGACTGTTCTTGTAACATCCGTTGTAATAATTTCTGAAACACTTTTGGTTACTTCTAGTTCAGCATTACAGTTTGTATTGCACGTTTCTGGGGTAACACAAGGTGTTGTGTTAGTGTCTATTCTTGTTATTCCTACAGGATCATTGACTTCTAATTCCTCACTTGTTTGGACTGATCTTGTAACATCCGCTGTAGGTACAGTTTTTGAAGTGTCTTCAATTATATCTAGTCGAACATCACGATCTGCATTGCATGTTTTTGAGGTAGCATCCGTTGGAGTCGTCATTTGAACTACATCACTTGTACCGAAAATACTGATTAATTTCTCTTCAAGTGTTCTCTCCCTCGTCTTCTCCATGTTACATGTTTTGCATGTACTATCTTGTGATTTACTCCTTTTAATTTCATTAGAAATTATAATACTTTTATCTCTGTGAACTTGTGGTTTGTTAGTTATCTCAGATTTTATAGACATCTTCTTGGACGTATCTTCGTTAAATTCGTCTTGCATCGTTGAATCAGGTACAGCTCTTTGAATATCCTTCAGAACTTCCACGCAGTTAGAAGCCACATTTCCGTCGCTAATACACAATCCAGAATCACAAGAGTCAACAGAGTCCTTTTTCCTTCTCTTCTTGAACCTCTTCTGCAAGATATCTTTTTCCTGCTCATCCTCGCTAACACTTGTAAAATTTCCAAAATATATTCGAAATTTATCCTTCAAATGTTTCTTCTTTTTCTTGTCAATTTCTTTCATTTCATCTATGGAAGCAGAAATCTTTTTTCTCTTGTGTGAAGCATCCGAAGTTATCGCCTCGTTCGACTTCGTCTTATGTATATTCTCATTCTTGTACTCAGCTTTAGTATCACGGAACGTAGTGGTATTGCTTTTTGAAACATTGTTCGTCCGCTTAGGAAAATGTAAATCGAGCTTCATTCGATGTCTCTTACTTGATTCGTGATTAATAACACCGCCCACCTTATCAGATAACAAATCAGGAGTTCTTTGTGGTGAGCGAATACCGTCAACGAGTGTGACTTGAACTTCATCTTGATTGCACATAGACCTTTTCTTCAGAGGCAAGTTACCATCTTTCGTGCAGTCTCTGCCTCGCGACTTGAACGTCGTGTCTGCAGTAACAACTGTACACCCTCCCTTCTTCATCGAATTTTCACGTGTAGTCATTTTTACGAAATAAATTTGATTCAATTGCTGTAAAGCTTTATCAAATGAGTGGAACGTAGTTAATGTGTTACTGCCTGACTTATATTTATTGCTCGACACGAGTGATTCTTGGGGCCCATCGGGTGGTTCACCTTTAAATGCCTTTAGGTCTTCCGCTTTTTCATTGCGTATATCCTCTTCTTCGTCGTCGATTCCCTTCGTATTTTCTAAGGATAAATTCCTCGGGCTGGAACATAGTTTTAATATTTTAAAATACGAAGGATGACATGTATGAACAATTGGAGGATCGATACTGGTGTCTAGACATCAGAACACAAATGTTCAGAGATAATTCAAGAGGTGCCTCTTATCTCGATTTTATAATGTTTCGTAACTGCGTCTGATAAAACAATGTACACGAGAAATAAGAAATTCGTTATCAATGGCATAAAAAAACAAACTCTGGATCTGATGGATACATTACTTTCTCCAATCGCTGCAACGTCGAATGCTGTATCGTATTTAAAGCACATGTGCTCGCGTGTGCCAACGTGCGCCAAGATTCGAGCACATGTGCCTTCGGTTGCCTTGGCTTTCAGATCTGTACACGTTTTCACTCGAATTCAGACTCGATAATAATTCTTAATTAAGATGTATAATGTAGATAGATTAACCAAATAAATTTCAATTAATATGATAACGTTAATATTTTATTATCTACAAGTGCGTTTCTTCAGCGCACGATTCTCATATTTACGTAAATCCGCAGCTTAATCTCTACCACTACAGCGGTAATAAAAGTCAAGCATATTCGGAGTACTTATATAGGAAAGTTCCACGAGGTCATATAATTTCCAAAATACTCGAGTAGGATAACGTTTTAAGTAACGTATATATGTTGCTGTATTGTGATGTATATTGATAATTAGTTTTAATCAGAGTTACCTCTGATACAATTCTAAATATATATTGTTCAATTTAAATAATTAAAAACTGTCTCAAATGTACGTAAATAATTAGTTAAACATAGATCTATATTTTCCATTTATAAATTTTAACGAAGAACCAATCTTCAGATGCCCATTTATCACTAAAGCATTTCATTCCTAATTTATTTTTGACAATTCTTTTGTAAATTATTATTTATCACCATATTCCCTTTCTGCTTCAAAGGTCTCCATTACTAAACTGTAATCGGACTAAAGTCAACTGACCAGTCAGCTAGCGAGGCGTTATCTTAGCTAGAGGGCACCCTATCTCGTTTCTTTGCACAAACATGCCCCCTCTGAAAGAACAAGTAGGTTCTGAATCATATCTGACGCATTTGTGTTCAGAAATATAAGGCCTTGGACGACCAACTAAATTCTATCCGACTATACACGAGTGAGTCGTGCTATACTCGAGATAGCCAACAAATTTTACCAACAATTTAATTCACGCCTATTAAACGAACATGACGAACTTACCCATACCTTCGGCTGGTCGGTTGCCGTTTGAGAATTACACGTGGTTTCGTCGCGAGTTGGACCAACGCTTGATGAACTTGCCTCCGCGACAACCCAAAGTTCTGGAGGTCCTTACGTAACTGAAACAATCGCCACGGTATTTGGAAGTTAGATTTCTGCGACATAACTTCATCGGGTTTTCGTGTACAGCAAAACGTATACGAAACTCGAAGAAGAGAAAGGAGAGAAACAAACGTTTATCACGGTCGCGCTCGTGTTTACATCTCACGTTCGTTTGTTTTCGCCTGTGCGATGCTCGCCTTCCATCGCAACTGATTTTAAACAATGAACAAGAAGCTAGCTTCGTCGCAACGGAAGTCGTAACGCGGATAAATAGAGGACGAAATATTCGTTTAGACAATAGTATCGAGTAACGAATAAATGAAAGGCAGAAATCGTATGACCCTTTTCATCTAATATGCGGGATGGCATGTACGTACAAGTGACTCTTGAATCGTTTGAAAATCGTGAGATTACGTTAAAAACTTTAGCTGAAACAAGCCTCTTTCGGATGATACTACATAGCATAGCGTATCTTTACGCGTGAAGTGAATACGCGATGTAAAATAAATAAAATCTTTAACGAAACTTATACTATTCGGTCAAATAAACGATCTCTAACAGTATACTCGTCTCACGCGTAACATCTTCACATATTTCTACACTAAGGGTGTTGAATATTATTTGACAAATCACGCACAACACAAACTAGAGCTCATACGACGGCTTCATTCGTTACTTTGACTAAAACTTCGTTAAATTCATTATTCGAGGCCACCTCTGCGGTGGACATACACCCCACCTTTTGCAGCACTCCGTAGCGTCGCGGAGGGCCCACAAAATGAAGCCATTTTTTCAATTCTAAGTTGTCGAATCTCAACGGCACCACAGATTCCATTTGCGCGTTTTTCGGTATCGCAGCAAGAAAAACTTTACCGCGTGTCGACGTAAACGTCTCCCAGGACGGTCACGGCTCGACTGAGCCCATGGGAAACACACGCCGATGCCGTGCGCGTGTGTTTATAGATAGCATATTTCGCTTCCAAAACAATCGGCTAACACGACCAATCGACGACAAATTCATACGACGATCGGTATAAAGTATAAGCCAACAGGTAAATTGGAAATTCTTGTTTGCTGAAAATTTAGGGTACCTCCCTTTGACCATTTCCAACCTTTTCTGGAAATGTGTAAAACCTTCCCCTCCCCTCCCCCCCCCCCTCCCTGCAGCCAAAGGTCTTTTGTTCGAGGCGAACTGCTTGGAAACCGCCCACAGGATACAAAAGCAGAATATTCAACGAGGACAAAGTTGCAGAATTTTTATTTCAAATTCCACCATAAAATATCAATTGTGTTCGTAATTGGTCCTGCATTAATTGCTTGCTTTGAAATAGTTTCTCCTTGTTCGGATATTCACAGTATGTGCGTTTGCGACTCTGAGAAGGACTCCCATCCGTCTAAATTGCAATGTATGTATATTATTTGTTTGCATCTAAGGAGCATTTGGAATGTCTTTCAGAATCATTCATAGTTGCAAGCGATTCGTAGTCACTCATTTTGTAATACAATATCTTCCTTATGTAATTTTCGATGTAAAAGTTGCTGAGCAAAATAAACAAATAATCCACCCTGTCGACTACGAGGAATACGAGTGGAGACGTTAAAATGGCGTAGAGGATATTCGACGCCGGTTCAAGTTGCTCGCACTATTAACTCGGAAGATACCACTCGTTCGAAGGTTCGACTTACACTGAGTCTGGTGAACTTCCTCCAGCTATTTATACATATAAGGAAACAGACGTCGAACTTTTGAACGGAATACGCATTTTTATCTATTACGCGCTAATCATATCAACACGTTGGACATCCGTGGATACTGATAAACATTTCGTCACGTGTTCGTCTTGAACTTCGGGATATTCGGTATCCTCATCCAACTGCGTTCTTAGATGAGATAATGCAATGCAACACTATAGGTCGATTTATACGCGATACAGTATTAGTCTATCGGCTGTAGACGTACCATAACGAATCAGAGGTGACCGGATGACACTGCGTGGCGCCAAAACTCCAGTCGCAACAATGTAAAACGATTATTCCAGTGACACATAATTTTTGGATCTGATAGACTTTCATCTTTTATAGTTTCTAGAACTGCTATCGTCTATACTAGATTTCATAAATTTTTTTCAAAAATGAAAAACTACGCTATCCCTTAGTAATATAGGCTATACTTTATTTTGATCTACAACTTTCCTTTTAGCGAAGAAAACCATAATTTTAATTTGAACATTTTTGAACGTTGGGCACAAGAAAAACTTACAGAAAGTGGTGGATTCTAGAATACAGGGCTCCCGGGTTTCCCGGATGAACTAAAAGTTGGCCCTACCAAGTGTTTCAAGGACTACAGAGTTGCACATGTGGGAAACACAGTCTAGAGAGGGTACGATGGACGATAAGGGGTCGGTTGAAAAAAAAAAGGGAACGAAGAAGGAACGAACACTGTTGTATTAGATAAAAATACAGCGACGACATTTGAAAATGGCCTAATGTAACTCAGACCGCCTTCGAAATCAGATGAAACGATTGCTAACAATGGGACAATTGTTTCTTTGTGTTAAGTAAACAGTCTCCATGGCGCACGTGATCGTCAGAGTATCTTATTACACTTGAACGATTAACGAATTCTAGAAATACGATCGGGTACGTTTCAAACTGAAAGGTTCAGTGCTACGCAGTTTGAGAATTTGCTAAACAAAACGTTAATATTTTTCACTCGAGAGAACATTCATAAAAATGACAAATTGGAAAATGTTTTGTTTGCGGGACCAACTGGAAGGCATCGAAGTCTTTTAAGAACCAAATGCATTTTATACGAGCAAAAATTAATTGAATTTGATTTTCCCACGGGTATATAACTTAACCCCTTCTTCAGCCACAGGAAGAGCTACGGGTCATATTTTCACTCTTATCTAAAACTGCCCTGTTGTTCTGTTATCTTTTACACGATTTACTGTTATATTTATTGCAGACCCTCGCCACAAAAGTACTCAAAAGTTCCAACACAATTACAAAAGAGACGTGAGAATTCACGATAATGACATTCCTAGGAAACCTATCCATTGCAAAAAAAACTCGACCGACTAAAATGTAACAATTTTGTAAAGTACTTCACGCTATTGATCAATCGCGACGAATATGACGTTGAATCAAACAGGACTCGTGGAATACAATTGACACGAATTCGAATTCACGAAACGAAAATGAACGAGTCGAATCTAATATCATTTCAAAACTCACAAAATATTAGACCCGTGTAATTGCGGATTAAAATGACAACGGATGGATCATTGAAGATTCTGATAGGTAGTTTATAACCGCAAATAACATAACTAAAAAAATGTGATTGGAAGTTGATTGCATATGAATATTCTGATTGCAGCTGGTGCCGTCGGTGGCTTATTTAACGTGATCACTGGTCATCCATTAGATACAATTAAGGTACGATTGCAAACGATGCCACACGCGTACAAGGGCACATGGGACACGACTAAGAAACTTGTCCTGCAAGAAGGACCCTGTAGCCTGTATAAGGTACAAATTTTAATCGTTCAAAAGATCTATTAAAAAGAGTTCGTTTCAATATCCTGTATCTGCTCGATGATACTGTGTTTTTATTAAATGTAATTTATCAGAAAAACAATGCCCTAAACCGCAATTTTCTATTACGTTTAGTTTATAAATTACATTCGTTATAAATATATTGTCAAACTTTAAGTGAATTTAAGCTCTGAACCAAATTATATTCAGTAAAAACACGCGATCCTGTCATATTAGACCGAAGAGACCTACAAGAAAACATCACTGGAAATACATCATTAGACCAATTTAAAACTATTTACAAAGAACACAACTAGAAACACACACGGGACACTGAATCCTGCACGTTAACCTTAAATGTTCCTCGACCGTGGTACCCCGTTAATCAAGGATTTCTCAGCTATCTAACATTTGCAACTGAACCTTTGTCTGCTTCCATGATTACAATCACATTGAAACACCACACAACGCGGCGTTTAAATTTTTTCATTTCACCAGGAAAACAACATAGCGGCTGATGCTCGATTATATTTCACCGCGGCGTGTTATTATTGTTTGCGCCACAGTCCATGATGATTAAGGGCACTTTGACATTACCTGTTGCTTTGCGGGTCCTCTCGTCGACTGACTGCTTTGCCGTAGTTCGTGGAACCCCTCATGTTTGGTGGGGATGCGTTCTCCTTACGGGGTAACAGGAGCCGCTCTACTCTACAGGCTCTAATTGGTCACATTTTTGTCGCGTTTAATCAACAAGCGAATAAAGACGCAAGGGAGGGAGGCCTAGAAAGGCTCGCGTCAGTTAATTTTTCTATTCGTTATCGCGCTCGCTCTTCCTAAAATGCTTACTCGATTACTATATTTTATTACCCTCGCGCTTAGGTTCGAATTACGGGGCCGAATTACGCTGAATCCCGAGAATCTTTGATCCACGAAAACGCCAAGTCTGACGAGCAAAAGCTATTAGTTTTGAAATAAATAACGCACGATTATCTCAAAATCGTGAGAACTAACAAGGGAAGTCCGGCAATTGATGCGCTTTAACTTTAATGGAACTTTGTGAAATCATAGCAACAAAGATGTGCGTACCGACGCGTGATTGATCACTGGTGAATCGATCTCTAATGTTTGTATTCACGCGAGAAGCATTTGCGCAAAATGTTTATATTAACAGGAATCGTCGACTCGTACCTTCTACAACGTATACTTCTACAGCAGCGTGTCTCAAACTAACGCTCTCAAAAAGAAATGAAGCATATCTTTATTTTTTAATTGTTTTCCCAGGGTGTAATGGCACCAGTCATAATGGCTGTACCGATATTCGCTCTTGGTTTCCTTGGTTTCGGATTCGGTAAGGAGCTCGTTTCTGAACCACACCAAGAATCTTTGACTGGCACACAAATGTTTCTTGCGGGGATGTTCAGTGGAGCGTGCACCTCGATTATTTCGGCTCCTGTGGAACGAATAAAGTGCTTACTGCAAATCCAGGTGAGTTTATCCGGATTATCTGTGAATATAAATATAAAAATATGAAACTATAAGGATCGATATGCCTCGCTCTATATCGTAGAAATATCGACAATCATATTGGGTTTAAAATTGAAAAGCTTATTGTAAACTTTTCTCAAGTAACCCTGTGTCATAAAAAATAATTCGCCCGGAATTGCTCAAGGGGGTGGAATCTAAAAAATACAATGGTTTTCTGGATTGCGTCGTGAAACTATGGAAAGAGGGCGGAATTCGAAATATATATCTGGGCACCTGCGCCACGATGCTTCGAGAACTACCCTCCACAGGATTATATTTCTGCTCGTACGACTATATCTTGCGGAATCTTCCCAAAAAATCTGACGAAGTAAGGACGATATTAACCTCTCAATTTCTTCACTGTAATTGCTGGAAAGTCTTCTCACCTCACACAGGTAACAGCATGGCAATCAATGATGGCAGGGGGTTGCGCAGGAATGGTGCACTGGGCAGTGGCGCTTCCCGTCGATACGGTAAAGTCGAAGCTGCAGACGTCTCCTCTAGGACATTATCCACGAGGATTCAGATCTGCGTTCGTGGAAACTGTGAAAAAAGATGGTTTATCTATTCTTTATAACGGGATCGTGCCGGTTATGCTTCGCGCGTTTCCAGCGAACGCTGCATTCTTTTGCGGTGTCGAAGTAACAATGAAATTTTTGGATGAGCACGCTTCGTGGATATGAACATTTTAATCATCGAGGATTTTAAATGAATTGGCCATGGTGTAGTTAGCCGAAAATTCTACGGCCATCTGGGATACGTTTCATAGGACTTCTACAGTTTCGTTTCCGGTGTACACGCTGGACAAGTGACAAAGAGAATGGGCACGATGGACTTGAAAACACTGTAGGTGGTCGGTTCCTGGGGGTTGTAAAGTGTCCCCCATTTACAACAGTCGAGAGTTATCGACTCGAGAAGTTTTACCGTTTTACCTCAGCGCGGAAAATGATTCCTTTGCCCTGAAAAACACTTCTTTGTATATTACAGCAATATAACGGTTGACTGTACGTTTTCAAAAGAACAATTTTGTATTTTCCATAATGTCAAGCGTAACGAAGAGTCATTTACTAATTAAACAAATAAATGAAAAAGTGACTCTCGGCGATTCGAGGAAATTTAATACGTTTATAAATATTAATGCTAAATATTATTATTCGATTATCTCGAGTCTTCCGGTGCTGCAGGCGAAGTATCAATCTTAACTGTAGTAGTATGCCGTTGTGTGGTCAATCTGGTTGTAGCTCTTGTCGATCTGGTAGTAGTTTTGCTCGCGTAGTCTCGACTGGAATCTAATGGATCTAGTTGTGAAAATAATTATTTCCAAGTGCATTGTAAACGGAAATGTTTCGTTCATTTAATTTTATTCGTGAAATTCCAAGAAGGAAGTCCAAATTCCTTACCACGAGCCTCACTCGTCCTTGTAGGCCAAAGGGTTAATTTCATTTCAATTCACAATTAAATGGCGGATTCCTTTGAACGTACCTGACTTCGTCGCGATCGCAATATTCCGCTCCCTCTTTCCAAGATGAACGGCGGATAAAATAATGATGGTAATGACAACGAGAAAAACCGCTAAAGACGATATCCATTGCATAATTCCAAAAGTCATTGCTTATTTTTCGTGTCTTCTAAGTTGCTTTTTTCACTTTCAAGGTATGTATATCGCCTTTGTTGAGCGGTTGGGTCACAAGATCACATCCCATGTTTATTTACAGCCAACGAGTTCGATTGTTTTTAAGATCCATGTCGAACACTGATACGATAGAAAAAGGAAAACAAAAATAAAGCAAAACTCTAGTGAAATTTTATCGATATAATATAATGTCCGTTACCCTTTTATAAAATGACAGAAGTATTACTAGTTACTCTAATAACAAGCACCCACACACCACATACCCTTAAGTATATTACATACTCTACAAATTCATAATTTGATACGTAGTGACATCTAGTAAACTGTGTCGCAACCTTTACCACCTCTCGAATATGTCGGATAGGTCAATGCACTTGTATTTACCATTGCTCGCATGTTAAGTGACAAAGGACATCGATAAATTTTAATTTAACAAAACCCTGATCTGTCTCATTGAACGTACAACCAATCGATAAAACGTTTATGTCGTAGCAGTTTACTTATTCGCGTACAGAGATCGGTAAGCGCTCCGAAAATGTTTGTGACGTGATTGTAAGAAGAACTACATAACCTCTCTGGCTTTTATTATTACAAATTAACCGAAACCGTTGTGTTTCAAAGTATAACAGAGTTTTATGCTATCAGTTGCCTCGCAATCATGCGCTCGAATAGCAAACCAAGAGTTTAACGACGATTGTGATCGCAAGAGTGGATCACAAAAGTGTAAAGAATGCCGAATTGTAGCGGCTTACTTAGAATCATTCGACGGCGCCTCGTACTTGGACTGATCTTTGCTTTGTCTCTTACCTACTGCGCCTTTTCATTGTTTCGAAATGAGGTAAACTACTGATTGGACTAATACGTTTTGATGCTAATGATAACATATATTATTTCCTCCATAGGGAAAAACGTTAACTTTAGACACAGATCTCGACGATATGGATGCAATGATGATTAATGATAATAACGACGACTTGATCTCGGATGACGAGCCGTTATCGGAACAATTAAGAGCATCGGGTAAGCCACCGTTGTGGCAGGCAGCTCTTGATCAGGGAACGAATGATAATACGTTAAACATGGAAGCTATATCCAACTTAAATGATACCGATACAGTGGTTCGTCCTTGTCGTAACTCTGTCCAGGTACATCAAGTTCTTGTATGAGACCTATTACAATATCAGCATTTTCTACCGAGCAAATCTATTAATATGACACTATTCTGCTAGGGTAAAGCTCTAATCGTAGACGAGCGCGGTATCGTATGCGGTAGACAGGATATTTTGCCAAATGGGTGTTGCAATCTTGAACAAAAGGATCCAACAAAAACAGAGGAATCATCTGTTAATAAGAGAGAGAGGTATAGTTGTAAAACGTGTAACGTCCAAGGGTGCTGTGCTATATATGAATATTGCGTTTCCTGCTGCCTACATCCCGGCAAGGTGGTTTTCAATTTCTCGTATATATATTTATAAAATGACCAAGACATTAACAATGCATTATTATCAACAGCAAATAAAAGGACGGAAGGACGTGCTGATAGGTTTACTTAGAGACAATCATAAGGTGCATAAGGATCAGGATGTCGTGAAGAAACGTCTTCGAAATCTAGACCGATTTCAAATTTGCCTAGCTGCTTGTCGTACCTCCAGCGCGAGTGTCCGCCACGAGAACACCTACAAAGATCCACATTCGAAACATTGTTATAGCCTCCAACCACCGTATACGCATCAAAGACATCGTCGCGACACTGATTCGTTCAATAATAATGGCGACAACACTGTTGTCGTTGCATCTTTTTCTGTCATGCCGTTACTTACCCTTCTCTCTCCTTTCTGCCTACACACACATCCAAACAACTCGCTCACGACATCGTGCAACTATCGCGCCTTAATATCGCTATATTATTATTCACACGTACAACCACCTTGAAATACAAATCAAATTTACCGTACAGCGTTTTTTATAAGGATGATTGAATTCCGCGTACAAGGGACGCTCGGAAACGCCATATATCCGCGTACTTGGCCTCCACGTTGGGAAAACGTTTTTTTAAGTAATCCAGAACCTCTTCTGCGACTTTCGATGGGGTCATCTCGCTTTCCTAATTGTTGCAACAGTTATTTTAAAAGACAGCGGTGATGCCAGTGCTCTCAAACTTCAGTCTCGATGAAGGAAAAAAGTTTCGTCGTACAAAGTTTGAGAAACACTGAATCGATCAGGTCCTATGATACGAGGAGGGGATGAGTAAAACAGATCGTCGAACCCGGATCTCGCGTAAAAATCACATTTGTACAAATATTATCTAGTACACGAAAGTATTTGTTATACATTAGAGGCTTCTAGAAGGTAAGTGGTTCATACCTTTCTCTTACTATGCGAGATCCTGGTTTCGATCCGTTACTTACGTCCAGATAATGACACTCGGCTGCTGCATAGTGGCAAGAGATAGCTCGTCTCGTGTTCTTCGACATGTTAATGCCCGATCCGTGAATTAACAGAGGATGAAAGAATACCGTGTCGCCTGGTTCCATCTCAAGGTATACCCATTTTATCGATTCGGGCAGATCCTTCGACAAACAGGTAACAAAAAAAATAATATCGGATATCGTGATTCGAGGCGATAGAATGCGATCAAGCACGTACCAGGATGCCGTGGTAGAATTTGTTGAAGGAGCCTGGCTCCGTTCCCGGTGGGTAGTCGTGATCGTACAAACGATCGTGTGCATGCGTGCCAGGAGCCACGAAAAGACATCCATTTTCGCGGGTGCACGGCTCCATAGCTGTCCATGATGCCACTATCAGGTCTGCTGGCCGGAACGGGAAGTAATACAAGTCCTGGTGGGGCGGATGCCTGCAAAGGAATTCGTTCCGTACGGATCAACAAAAATCTGCTGCTATCTTCGGAGCGACTTCCTCAGGAAACGTATAAATCCGAGACCGTGTTCTTTCGTGGTCCAGATTTCAAGAAAAACAAGTCTAAACGTTTCGCTAAGTTTCACTATTTTTCACTCGTTCTCCCAGGGGTTTTGGAAAATAGAACTTTGTTTAATAATACGTAGGGTGAACCATGGAACTTGTCCACCTCTATTATTTTTGCTATTGTATCAGAAGTCAAGGATTCGTAATAAAAGAGCTACGTTACTTGGAAGAACCGTATCCGACGTCAGGAGGTTTGGCGATCAGCATGCTGTGCATAGCCATGATGTTTGGTCCAGTGAATCCCTCCACTATGTCGAGAACGGTTTTGTGAGCGATGTACTTGCGGAAGACTTCGTCGCAGCTTATGTCCTGTACTTTGTTGACCGATTTTCTGTCCTTCACGTCGTACATCACCGTTATTCCGTCACGTGGAACTTTGCCAGCTACAATGTCGTCGAACCTGAAAAGGTAATTGCCTATGAAAACTGGAGAGCAATGGAAAAATTGATCGTACGTTCGACGCGACGCAATATCCCCGGGACGAGTAGCTGGCGCTTAACGTTAGTAACGACGGGAAAATGATTAATAACCAGCCAACTTTCCTGGGCAAATATAACGCGATTCATTTCGAGCCACGTGGCACCGCGATTAACAATTTAAATCCCGAGTTTGCTTTGCTAGTAAATAATTAATGCGACGAGATGTAACGTTTGTCCACGCACTGATTGCGGATGATAAATTTATCCGAATGCTCGCGGTGTACATCGATATTATTTGAAACTTTTGCGACGTATATTTGCTCGCTTCGCAATGCATTTTGACTACCTTTAAGGTAGCTCGACTGTATATTTGGTTGATTGCTCTTTAATAAATGATACTGCAATTGTTTCGTTTTATGTAAGTTTATATAACTTGTCCATCCTTTTAGTTATAAATGATACGTTAATACACGAAGAATATTCGAATAGAAACAAACGGTAGACTTCTACAAATTTGTTCATACCTCTGATGACATTCGTCGAGTACGTCCTGGGGTACCAGACGACGGAACACCAAATATCCATTCTCTTCGTAAAACAATCGTTGTTGGGGCAACAGATTCTTGATGTTTTTCGTGTAACGTGGAAACTTCATTTCTTACGTCGTAAGGTCTCTGCAAAATGAAATGTCTCGTAAATAAAACCCGTAAGAACAACGCAGTTCGAGTAGCAGAAATCATTACTATAGGAAATCAAAGCCGAAAGGAAATAAAATCGAAAAAGCAATTTGGAAAATGCTTGGGAGTGTAAAGAGCAGTCATTCGGAGGAGGTTTGAAGACGTAGAAAATCGAGCTGCGTCGTTGATATCTGATGCACCGTGCACGCTCATTTCCATAGCTTACTCGCCCGTGAAAACCATAACGTTGTGAAAACAATTAGTTAATGGGACGCGAACAAAGTTTACGGTTCGGATCGATTTACGCTCAATGAAGTCAGAGCATTTAAAAGTTCTATCGTTCGAAATTATTGTTCGAATTCCCGCCGAGGGTTGCGAGCCTCGTTAACGGAGCGGTTGAAATTCAATCTGTCGAATGAACGAGGCTGAACTTCGACAATTTCCGTACTATGTCAAACGGGAGGCATACTAGTACTCTAAGAAAGCAAATTGGGGACAGTTAGCGTCTCCATCCAGATTCAAAGTCGACTTTATTCTGAGAATGGATGTCTTGATTGAAAGATAATATCATAATAAAAAGAAAGAAAGTCACTGTATTAATTCAAGTCTCTGAAAATACTTTGCTTGGAAACCATTACAAATAACTCTAAAATGTCACACTGAGGTTCGCTGAACCCCAGTCTATTTCCTCCTGTTTATATCTCTCATAAAGGGCGACATTTGGGTATCTACCCTCGGCAGCAAGAACGTTTATGGTGTCAAGATTATGGTTGAAGTCGTGTCAGCCTCGATATGCTCGAGGAATTGAAACAACGATCTTATAAAGTCTGCATGGAACCCGTTAGACCCCGGCCCACGATTCATGCATAAATCTCATTTGTGTAAGAAAGTATCACTTCGTTTGTAAATTAAGCAAATGATCAGACAATGAAATCGCAGCGTAGTTTTGTGTAATTTGTTGGATAAGTAACGCAAGAGTGAGTGAGGAATTAAAATCGAACCTATCAAAGTTATCCCATTTATGGTACGAATTCGTTAACTCGGTTTCATATGTTTTTCATTTTGATTCGAAGAAAATACTAAACTACTTGTCCCAAAAAATAATTGGCCAACAATTAAAAAAAAAGATTAATATCAGCCCAGATAACGGTATCTAAAAATGAAGCTTGACGTTCCAGGGATAAATCGGGGATCGACGCTATCCGTGATCGAGCGATCGAGGGGGTGGTTTCCCTCCGTCCCTCGAGCGGTTGGTGCGCGCGACGGTGTAGGCGTCGCGACGTTTTGCGCCGACGTGGTTCTCGCGAGCGATTTCTCTCTCTCTCTCTCTCTCTATCGCTCTCCCGGTTTCTCTGCGTCTTTCTTTTCCCGGCGACCGTTGAATTCAGCACGTGGCATCAAAGGGAAGATATACAGCGGGGTGGTCGCTCTTCCCAGCCAAACGGCGACGACCCTCGCCCGTCGCCGCTCGTTCGCGCGCGCGATTTCGAGAATCCGCTCCGACGGAAGCGTCGATGATTTACCACCGCTTGTGAAGACGAAACGTACGAGAGACCCAGTGCAACCCTACGCGTGAATTCGTGGTTCCCTCGTGAGAAAGAAGAAAGAAATCAGAGGAGATCTTCCCACTTTTCCTTTGGTGTTTCCTAGGGAAACCATGCTCGCGGAAGTTAGAGTTTAGAGTCATCGCCACGCTATGGAACACTTTGGTGAGTTCGACGACTCTGCTTTTAAATAAGGGGGGAGTACCAACAGGGAGCACCCTCGTTTATTTCATTCTGAATTAATTTAAATTAAGGACTGCTTTCTTTTAAACGAGGCGAAGGTAACGATACTGACTACCCTTAACCCTTTCGCTGATGAATTCCAGTGGTAGGAAAAACTACAATCCACGCGATCATATAAACTCTGTTCATTACGAAAGTGGTGTCCAAATGAAGTTTCCACGATCCACGCTTAAGAAGCATGTTTATCTTGTTTGTAACAGAGTTTTAACGGTAACGTGGTAGTATTTCCTTATGATCCTGTTAACCTAATTACAGTTGGTAAACAGAATAAAACGAGGATGGAAGTGCATTTGTGGTGGCCAAGAATATATTTTTCCTTAATTGGCATTCGTATTCTTTAAACGCTTAATAAATCTACTTATCGTAGGTCGCCGGAAACATACAACGGACCTACTCACGCTTATCAACGTTTTTCGATCGATCGAACCGTAAAACCTTTTTTATATCTCGAAACAAAGATAGATGGACTCGCGCCACTTCCACGTATTGTCTATTTTCTACCGAACCTAACTACACCAATCACTTGCTTCAACCACTCGCTATTTGTACCTACCATGTTTTATTCATGAATGAACAATGTTTTCTCGAAAAGGACCTACCGTAAGGGTCGGAAACGCATACACGACACGATTCACGCATTAGAGACACTTCTGAAATAAAAGGTCAAATGAAAACAGAAGTATCTTGGGACCAAGCATCGTTGAATATTAAAAATATGATAGAAAATATTGCATTAGGTCGTCCCAAAAGTTCATTTGTTTCATTCATGAGTAGTACATACACAACATTTTATGTTTTATGTTGCATCACAGAATTGTGTACGACACATTTTACTCCGTTACTGTTACAATATCAATTTCTAAGAGATAAGCAAAGAAAACAACTAGGTACAAGTTGCGAAAGAAACTTTTGGGATAACCTAACACTTAGTGCATCCTCAGACCAGCGCTGGAGTAATCAGTTTCCAATTATAAGCCCTGATCGACAAAGTAACAGGTACATTTTGCTACCCTGTATTTGCACTTGCTATGCCTGTTCTCAAGGTGATGTTTCCAGGCTAGGTTCTGATCGATGTCCAAGCCAAGATATTTGACCTTATCGGATCTTGATGTAGGGGTGATGTTCGGAGTTATCCAAGGAAAATGTAAATGAGAATCTTATCGTGGCACGCGCGTTTGTTTGGAAAAGAAGCTCCTTTATCACGGCTCGTCGTCATAGTCCTTGAAAGGACGCTAGAAAAAGCAAACTTGGTTCCGAGGACTCTTGTACGAGTTTATGGCAAGGATCGATGACAAGGCTGAATTCGTTTGGTTCTCTTTTTTAACATTAAATTGAATAATTTGATCGCGCAATACTCGATTCGATGCACGCTTCGCATGGTTACGCATTGCAGAGTTAATGCATCGCTACAGGCCGTGGATGCTCCTTTGTGCAAATAAATCAATGATTAAAAAAATTTTAACACCTAGCGGGGTCTCCCTCGTGGTGCTTCTGCGTTTAACGTTCGCAAGTTTCAAACTAATCTTTGTAATACGGTCTTCGGTGGCAGAATTTGTAATATCGCCAAGAGCTTCTTCGTTAGATCCTTCTCAACGTAAAAAGGAAAACTTAAAGCTAGTTTCACTATTAGTGAGCAAGTTCTTTCTCGCAGTAATTAATAAATATGCGAAGTTACTCGTTTCATTTGTAGCTGTAATTCATCCAGTCCGAAGTTCGGACTCTGCTACCACCCAGTTTCGAGCAATGTCAGATTCCTCGTGCGAGATGTGATCCAACAATGATGACATTAAACGTGGATTTGTGGAGTATTTTGCATCCATACGACCAGCACGATATCTGAGAGGAATGCTGTTTGGTTTCGGAACAACGGCGGGTCATGGCAGATCATCGTGCTTGAAATTCTGTTGTGTCGCAGTTATCGCATAATAAATTGAGACGCATTGTTTCCCAAGGCCTCTAAACGTTACCAAATGTTTCGAGATTCATGGTCGAAATCATCTTCGCCATGCAAACTAAACTTCCGGTGGCTACTTTGGAGGTTGTTTTAAGCCTGCCGGTGGTTTATTTCTTCGCGGGCTGCCGCGAGATAGGTCAGGGTACAGGTGTCGAGGAAAATCCTCGACGACGGATCGATTCGTTACGACGAGTTCGCGGTTTCCGCGGCTCGGTGGAATGGAAATGAGTTTACGGAGCCACGGCAGACAAAATCGATGTACATCGCGTTAATAATACACGGGACAAGGTCTACAACCTTTCGCGAATGAGCGTCGATGTAAAGACGCTCCTCTCCTACTTCTTTTCTCGTTCCTGATTCTCTCTGTTCCCTTCGAGCGTATCGCTCGCGACCACGCAGCACCTCGTCGAACCACGAATCGTCTTCTGCTTTGCATTCGAATTTCTCACGGAAAATCCTCGTTCAGGAAGGTCTTAAGATCTTTCACCGCAATACACTTCTTTACCAGAATTTTAAAATCAATCAGATATTCTTTATTATGGTAACAACCGTTCCATGGTGAATCGATCGATGATTTTCAACCATGTTCAAGTCATCGTTTTTCTAGTTTCTGCATTGTTCGAGTACTCCTTTAATTTCTAAAGTATGTTATATACAGATACTGCTTCTTCTTTTATCAGCTGACTGACTCTCGAGTTCCGTTTCAACTAAAATTCTATTTTCATCGTCGCAGTGGTCATTCAGAAGTAATAGCGAGTTAAAGTATGAGATTAAATACGTTTGAAACATTATTGCTTTAGGAGAACGCAAAAAGAGAAATCGGTTTTGTTCCGAAATCGGCAGACTGCACCATTATGGTTGCGGGACGAGTACGCGGACCGATTATCCGCTTATCGAATATTGGAGTTCGAGATCAATCGTGGACGTTTATTTTACCTCCGACCCTCGCCTAGGACGATTTCACGCGAGTTTCTTTTTTTATCCGCGCTATACCGCGTATGTATTCGCTGTCACGCATTCGACTATCAGATACTGGGTGTCGCGGAACGAAACGATCTCGAATGTGTATAGATTCGGTATGAAAAAAAAAAATGACGATCAACTTCCTTTTCAAAATGTCATTGTTTCGACTGTGTTCCTGGCCTCGAGCGACAATTCGAGTTTAGTTTTTCATTGCCAGACAAGATCGTCCAATTCGACTAGTGTAAACACGTACATAGGGGCTTTAGAGTAACACAAACATTCCGTGCTTTGCTTGCAATTAAAGTTGAACCGAAAGTCACGACGATCCGTGTACGGAAACTTTTTGAAATCGATTAAAAGTCTGCAGAAAGTTGTTCGCGGAAGTAGTAGTCGGTAAAAAATCTATGGAGGGTGACTGTATTCGGTATAGAGTATATACTTCTACCACAATGAATGTCTACAAACCATTTTACTCCAACGTGGTGGAACCCTTTAATTCTAAACCACCCTGTACCGTTCACTCGTACACACTAGTCTGTATTTATTTAACGAGTCCTCTCGACGTTTTGCAAAAAAAGGGAGAAACATGTTAAAAGCTTTTGTTTGCACTACTGAAAGCGGCTCTAACGATGGAAGTCCGTGTTCAATTCGCGCGCGTGACGATTCGCTCGTCGAGAATTCCATGCTCGTCTCGATCCGTGTTCTATCGAGGAGGGAACAAATTGCTCGGAGAAAGTGTGCCTGTGTCATGGTTGCTCGATAACATGGAAAAATGTGGGATATCGCGCGGGCGAACTGTTCTGGTCGATGAGAACGAAAGGGAATTACCGCTGATTGTTTCTCCTCCATTTTTCTCTTGTAACAGCTACTCCACGAGGAATAGATCGATGATATTTAAGTGTATTGTAGACCATGCGAAAGCAGAAGGGGTTTAAAGTTCGCAGTTTTCGTCAGTTGAATAAATCTTTAATTTCGAAACTTGGTACATAGATAGACCGTTTCTTTTCTTATCACCTGACTGACATAAATACACACCTTCGCAGACCTCTCGAGTTCTGTTCGAATTAAAATTCTGCTATTATTAAGAATAAATGTCTGTCATCGTCGCAGCGACATATTTCCCACGACGATTCGAAATCAGAACCTGCGAACTTTTCAAATTTAACTTCGCAAAAATACCGAACCGCCAAGCCACTCTTTCTCCCTTTCTCGCTGAAATTTAATAAACGATTAGGGATACGTGGAGGCACGGACACCTTTTTTTGGCATATCTAAGCGATACACAACCAGTGGGATGGTTGACACCAAAAATCAAACGGTGAAGTAACGACGAGGCACCTCAGGAAGGAGGTGTTAAAAGGAGGATATTTAAAAAGGAGGACCATTTAGTGAGAGAGCTAGTCAATCTTACAAAATCCATTCAAAATAGTTAAGTTCGTTAATAATAGATATCTTTTCTAAAAATCCATTTTTGGGATCGACGCTCGTGACAACACCGAAGCATTTAACATCGTCGTAAATTTGAGATTCCTTTTGAACGCCAATGAAACCTACAGAAACTCTCAAACACGTTGGAGATTGGTCAATGGCGAGTGGTTTCCAAGCACTGGAGTTTATGTTTATCTCGGAGGGGTGGCTGGCGAGCTCGTTGCTCGAACGTGCATCCACGCGTATCCGTTCGGTGTAAGAACTTTGTGATGCGAGGGGACAGAAGAACGCGGTGGCTCGAGCGAAAGGGGAGGGTTTTCTTGTTCGCCGTGTATACGTGGCGGAGTTGGCTCGAATACAGAACAAACTACTTGGCCAGACAGTCGGGCACCTTGCTCCCGATAAGGGACGACGTCTGCTGAGACCGGCAGTCGCGCCAGATCCGCTTGGGAAAATTTTCATCCCTTCTTGCAGTGATCGCGCCCCCACGCGCGTCTTCCAGCTTCGATTCCGCTGCCGGGATTTCTGTTTCTGCGGAACTGGCTCGATTTACGACAGGAACGGATTGCTTTTTATCTGCGTGAATCGAATTAACATTTACGATTAAACAGGAACAGCGATGATAATCAATTATTTTATAAAGTCGAATGTTCGAATACCTGAATTAAATCGGAGAGACGATTGGAATCATTTCTGGCAGAATTAGAATAAAAAAAAAAAAAAAAACAACAGAATAAAAGAAGCCCTCGTTGAATGGAAATTTGTGTTTCAATTACGGAATTAAATATCCAACAGGAAATAAATGAACTGGATAAACATTACGAGTAAATCCCTGTAATGATTTAGTTTTCCTTTCATCGCGTATTGTTCGAATAAAATCGCGTGCATCCCTTGTTCAAATGTTGGAGGAGGAACGTGATCGGAATGCAAATGCGATGGGCGTTCGTCCGCGCGAGTGACGATCGATTAATATTTGGCCAAGCCGTTTGGCGAATCAGTGGCGTAAATTGGTAAATTGTTATCGATAAAGAGGAGCAGATAATCCAAAGGAGGATTGCGCAGAGTCAAAGAGAAAATAATTCCACGTTGAAGAGGGCTGCAATGTCGGCGAGAATTGGATAATATACGCCGAGTTAAAACATAGTCTTACAATAGGCGTCGCGTCATTCGTACTCTGTTCTACTGGATATCGCATCCGATCGAAGAACTGAAACCCTTTAATTGGACAGAAAAAGTAAGATAAAATTAATTTCATTACCAGTTTTCATCTTAACGTTGGTTATAGAAATGTTTTCTTCTTTGCATTTCGTCAAGAAGCTCTTCTTTAAACGTGTCGCTGACCTTTTGGCGCGTGTCCAGATTTCTAGTAATTTTATTGCCGTTGGATCGAATTTATAAGTAACGTATTGCAAAATAGAGCACATATTGTTCTGACTCATAGTTCCCGTCTAGAAGAGTATCTATTTATATTTTATTCGTGTTATTTGCGTGTATTTCGGGCCGCTTCCGTTGCTTTTCGACCGAGCTTAAATTCGTAAAGCGCGGCAGACCGAATTTTCACTTCACTGTACGAATATTTAACACGTTCTAGTATCTTGCCAGAAACTCGATTAGTTTTAATAACGAAAATCGCGATAAATATCGATTCTTACGCGATGAATCGCTTCTCGGTCCATCCTGAATTTCTAAATGATAGATAAACCCGCCGCGTTTACTTGAAACGACAACGTGTAGTACTCAGCTGGTAGGAGGCGTTTATTTTTATACTCCCACGGTTTATTTGTATACTACGAACTGTTCGAGATGGGGAACGTGCCCCAAAAGACGAGTGCCCGAGTTCGGAGGCGTTCTGTATATAAAAACATTGGACCACGTGGTAATTGTTATCGTTACGTGACAACGGGGACGGGCCAGTCCACGCGATTGCCATAACGTTGGAAACGAAAGAGCATTAAGCTACTAAAGAAGGTATCCAGTGGCTCGATGGAACTGGGACACACTATGGAGCCGATACGTCAGCTGTTATCCAGTTTCGATTTGGTATTTGGATCAATAGCTACCGTGGACTCTCGCGAACTAAAGCTATGGTTCAAAGATCGACAAGAGGAGGACCCCATTGATTTTAATACAGAAAATCTAGATTATGATAGGAAATATTGTGAGACCAGCGGTGTCAATAGTTCGCGTGCTCGCCATACACAATGAAATTATCGTGGTATATGTACACTAATACAATCTGATCGACTCTGTTTCAATTCTTTGCACATAGTAATGAGGGCGGATACCCTATCATCCTGCAGGAGCACGTTAATATTAGAGAACAGGTTGGGTCCTCCCCTTGCGAGTGGTCAGAGCAACTACATTGTTCGTCGACGAAATGTCAGGACTGGCGTGCTTTCCGCATAATTCGATATCTCGACGAGCCTTCGATCCTTCGACACGTGATCAAGTCATGCCGTATGACTGTGACTATCGATTATGCGATAACGTCCGTCGAGATGTATGCGTTCCGTCTGTGACTCGTTCCCCCAACTTGCGTGGATTTTAGGCTCCCGACTGTTATCGAGCCCTAATCTCATTAGGTGGTTGACTAGCTTTAGCGTATTTTTATTCTGATATCCCAGAGCTGACCCTCGCAATTTGTAATACACCGAGTGCCTCATTTTAACGATACCTTCCTTTGGAAATCTGTTAATAAAATAATGTAATTCTACTGTTAGGTCACAGATTTTGCGTAATATTGGTAATGTTCTATTACAGTATCGTTAATTATTGCGTATGCAGAAAGTATCCAGTTAGAACGGTTGCAATTGCGATCAACGAGAAGGCCACATACGCGACCAAGTGGACGCAGAATTTGTAAAGATCTTCTCTCAAATTCGAAATCGCTAAGTATAAACAAGCGTCGTTGACTTTCTCCTCACGCTTCGATACTTCGTCAAGAGTCCTGCCTGCAACTTTTTCAATTGTCATACGAATCGTCGTTTGACGCGGGAAAATTATTTAAGCGCGCCATATTTCCTAGAATGATCGTTCTTTAGTTAGTGATCAGTCCTTCTCAGGAAGGAAGAGTCTAAGATGTTAATCTAGAATACAATGCAAACATTGTTGAGGAGTGCAGAGATTTTCACGAGTATGTCTAGCACTTGAAGTGTTTACCAACGATAATTCTTAGATCAACGTTGCGTTTAAATAACGTTCTCGACAACTTTGAAGATCTCCTCTCAAGAGCTATCCAAAAATTTCACCCTGCGAATCCTTTGCTGTTCGAAGCGCCAACAGCTGTCGAGTCCTCGAACGACAATTTCCGTTTTTCGAGGCTCGCGTCGGCCTCCGTTTGCGAGCTCGGTTTTTCCGTGGCCTTTCCGTCGTGTTCGTCAGATTCGCTCTCTGTTTCAGCGATAAAATATTACCCAACGCGCTTGGGCGTGAATTTGTCGCGGCGAGAAATATGAAGAAATTTCGCGTAAGTAGATTCCGACTTTGAAAAAGTAAAGTAAAAGTTCTAGCAATGACCTGCAGCTGGACCACTGCCAAATGATACTCGTCGCTTCTTTTCAGTACCGCGGCTCTCCATTTTCCGTTCCACCTTTGCGGCGTTCCTATTCGCCACGGCTCCCTTTACGTCTTTCGCTGTAATGGAGTTACGACAATCTCATTAATTCGTCGGTCGGTTTTTTCATTGCGTTAAGAATCGATGCCGGAGGAAAATTAAAAGCTCCGCCGTCCATGTATTTGCAGACGAAGCCAACTTGTTTATGCCGATTGAAATTGTTTATCGAAGACCATACAGTCGATCCCGTAAATAACAGACCCTCTGTGTCTATCGGAGAAGTTCGACTAAATTAAATAATTGATTTGTCATTTATACAAGCACACACTCGGAGACATCAAACCTACCATTTAATTTATACAAATTTCTTCGATAGACATAGAGGTTACGAATATTTATGGGGTAAAAATTTACGAGAGACATCGGTTTATACCAAAGTCCTAACGTGGTAGACAGATCAACCCTTCGCTCCCCAATATCCCCTAAGCATTGATTTTTACCTTCGACACCTTCCCCCTTTTTTCGCTCTTCATTATCTCCAGTTTTCGCGCTGTCGTTCGCTTTCTGGTCGGCCTCGCCCTCGCTCTCCCTCGGCTGTAATAAGTTACAGGAGCAAAGTACGATTACGAGTCGCTTAATCGCCATGAAATATCGAAAATCGTTACATCCCGCTCGCACGCTCATCCTATTTCAGGAATTACATCCCCCGCGGCGTTACTCGAATTATCGTCTCGCGTCTGATCCGAGGACTTCGTCTTTCCTCTCATGGACGGCTTACGTAATCGACGATTCGTTCGCGATATGCAAATCCAGACACCCGATGTCGCTTACCGTGACACCGAGCAACAAATTAACACCTCTGGCTGTGCGACACCTATTCCTTGTCGACCCGAATCCTCGTCTTTCTTTGACGCGAAGCGCTGCTTTAATCTTTGGGGGTGGGAAAAGTGAGTTTGGAGCTTTCAACGCGATGACGTGCAAAATGCACACGCTAACAGGATCAGAGGGTGCAATAGTGCTTGGTTTGGTGGCCACTTGGACGGAGGTGAAGCAAATTGACAAAGAATAAAAGAAAATTCGGGTGGATTTGTTCTTAGACGGACCTATTCGACTGGAAATCGAATTACGCTAGCTACCGATAAAAATCAAAGCTGCTCGAGACACGCAAAGGATAGCACACAGCAAAAATGGAAATTCCCGATTGACCGCAATCAAATCCTACGCTTTCGTAAGAACTCGCACCGAGTTCGCACTCAACAGGTATTTAGATTATACCTGCTCGTATTTGGGGAGCCGTGGTTTACGGCTGGGATTCCCCGCTGTAATCATCATTAATGGAATCGTTCGCAAAGACGAACGTTATATAGAAGTCGCCGAGAGAGGGGTGAAGCTAGTGGGGTGAAATTACAGGGTCACCGCCATCGCGAACAATAAAGTCGCAGAGGTCCCTTTTACAACGTTCACTCGCCTGACAATTCCAATACGTCCAGCTAGTAAAAGAATGATGGTTTTCTGCCAAAAAAACTGCCCACGTGTTTGACAGCAATTATCCTCGTACCTTTCCTGTTTAGCCAGGTTTCGTAGCTAGGTGTCGTACACCATCGCTTTAATACATACAGTTATCTCCCTCTCTCTTCTAATGTTCCAATTCCATTCCATTAACGCACGATGAGCATTATCAGCCATCGTGAATGGACTCCGTGCACGATTCTCTTGCTCGAAGCTGTAATCTATTCGCAATCGCTCGATTTCTTGCTCCAAATTATGCAGGGATAGTTCACTTAGCCAAATTTTATCAAAACTTACAGGACTTAAAGCTGACGCTATAACAAAATAAAAATCACGAGAATTGATGACGTTGATACGGCTATAGAACTCTAGAAATTGTTTACTTTTATACTTCTACGGTGGTATTGAACGGTCCTGCAAACTGAAAATATTCGATCTTATTTAAAAAAAGAATTGAGTGAACAGCCCCTGAAATTATGTGCAATCTCTTTGTCGTAATTGCGTTCGAGCCTTCTGGGTGCTGCAGTCGCTCACTCCTTCGCGCAAGGACGAAAGGACCATGGTTCCGTTTACCTTCTTCTAGTTATCTTCCATAGGTCAAATCGACTTCAATTTTATCGATCGCGGGGAACAGCGGTAGATGAATTAAAGATCATCGAGGTTACGAGCACCGGTAACCTGGCAGGAGAAACCGTGCCGCACGTGCGAAGGACTAGGTCGCTTAGGGTCGGCCGGAGGATCCTACCTATATGTATAGGGGTTCCAGATGTTACATTCCATCGTCCAACTTGCGCGGAGGTGATCCCCGAAGCGTGCCAGCGGGACACGTGTTGAATTCGAAGCGTTCCGAACGTTTATTGCGCAGGTAAAACGGTCATCGAAAGGACGCTAATTTTACGGTCTACCTAATAAAATTTTGACTTCCAGACACTAACAGAGGGGAAACTTGTAACGTGGTTATAAACCTTTTCCTACGTCGATTTTTTCGTTATTTTCCCGTCGCTGATAGCGACGTCGAATTTTTAGGTTAATATCCAGTTTCTCGCCCGTTGTTCGAGACGGAGATTGCGCTTTTCTTGTTCGGGCGTTGCGCGACGCCGCGTTATTTACTCTCCTGGTAAATGTAATTGCTTCCACGAAGACAACTCTTTTTACAACGAGAAAACGGTTAAATTGGTCTTTTATAGAACGATCAAACATTCAGAGATGAAATTGTCTTTTAGTTAGTTCGAGGTATATTCATCTATAAAGTAATTTAATTTTTAATATAAAAGCGAACGGACAGATTCGTGGCGATATCTTATTCCAAATAAATACTTTGTCGATTTAGAATCGATTTCAAAATGAATACAAAACAGGGAGCATTTCGAACAGCACGATTTTGACAACCCTCCCCTATCTTACGTACACCAGACGAAGTCATTGCGATTGCTTTTAACCCACCCCCGAGAAAACGTTCAAAACAGAACGAAACTTCAGAAGACAAC